ATGAACATACAAACCATAAAAAAGAATCACTCAGAAACAAAAAATACAATAACTGAAATGAAGAATACATTGGAGAGAATCAACAGATTAGATGAAGCAGAGGGTTGGAACAGGCAATTTCAAAGATAAGACTGCCAGCCAATTTCTCCACAGAAACTTTGCAGGCAAGGAGGGGCTGGCAAGAAGAGACTGGAATGAAATACTCAAAGTAATGAAAAGGAAGGACCTACTACCAAGACTACTCTACCTAGCAAGGCTATCATTTAAAATTGAAGGAGAGATTAAAAAAAAGCTTCCCAGACAAGAAAAATCTATTTAACAGAGTTCATCACCACCAAACCAATATTATAAGAAAATTTAAAGCAGGGTTGGCCAAGTGGCTCAGTTGGTTAAGAGTTGGCTTGGGAGCACGAGCTCTGAGCAGCAGGGCCGCCAGTTTGGTTTCCACATGGGCCAGTGAAGCTGCACCCTCTACAGCTAAGATTGTGAACAATAGGTCGACCTGGAGCTGGGCTGCCATGAGTGGCTGGCGATGGCATAGGCTGCAGCCCCTGCTGCAGTGGGCTGCCTTGAGCTATGGTGAGTGGCCGGCAGCCAGTGTGAGCGGCCGGCAGCCACCGTGAGTGGCCGTCCAATGGCCAGTGACTGATCTGCCTCGCCCGGGAAGAGCGTAATGATAATACCAACATGGGCCTGTGAAGCAGTATCCTCCACAACTAGACTGAAGAACAAAAGAAGAGCAACTTGTCTGTTCCCCTTCCCTGATTCCCCAATGCTATTCCCCTCCCCCAATTCCCCAATAAAATCTTAAAAAAAAAAAGAGAGAAAAGTTAAAGGGACTTCTTTAAGAGGAAGGGGGAAAATATATATATATATATGGTTGTTGGAAAACTCATGATGCATTTTTGCAATGAAAAACAGAAAAAATATGTCATGACTTTTCCGACAACCCAATATATGAATAACAAAATAGAAGCAACTATGTATCTATCAATAATCACTTTAAATGTAAATGGATTAAACGCTCCAATTAAAAGACACAGGATAGCTGAATGGATAAAAAACAAAACTCATATATATGCTATACACAAGAGACCTATTTCAGATTGAAATCCACACACAGACTTTACACACACAGTAAAGGGATGGAAAAAGTTATTTCATACAAATGGAAATGAAAAAAAGCTGAGAGAGCAATACTTATAACAGACAAAAGGCACTTTAAAACAAAAGCTATAATAAGAGACAAAGAGGGACATTACATGATGATAAAGGGATCAATCCAACAAGAGGATATAACCCTAGTAAACACCTATGCACCCAACATAGGAGCTCCTAAATATATAAAGCAAATATTGAGCAACATAAAGGGAGACATTGACAGTAATACAATCATAGTAGGGGATTTTAATGACCCTTTGACGCCAATGGAAAGACCTTCCAGACAGAAAATCAACAAGGAAACAGTCGCCTGTAATGACACGCTAGACCAGATGGATTTAATTCATATTTTTAGAGCATTCCACCCCAAAGTAGTGAATATACATTCATTTCAAGTGCACATGGAACATTTTTCAAGATAGACCACATATTAGGCCACAAAACTAGTCTTTCTAAATTCAAGAAGATTAAAATCATAATCATATCAAGCGTCCTCCCCAACCATATGGTGTGAAACTAGAAATCAATTACAAAAAAAACAAAAACACATGGAAGCAAAATAACACAGCAGTAAACAATGAATGGCACTAAAGCAATCTGTACATTCAATGCAATCCCTATCAAAACACCAATGGCATTTTTCACAGAACTAGAACAAATAATCTTAAAATTTATATGTAACTACAGCAGACTTCAAATAGCCACAGGAATTTTAAGAACAAAATTGGAAATATTATACAACCTGATATCAAGCTATACTGCAAGGCTATAGTAATCAAAACAGCATTCTACTGGCATAAAAACAGACATATAAATCAGTATAACAGAACATGGAGCCCAGAAATAAACCCATATGTATGTGGTCATTTAATCTATGACAAGGTAAGAACACACAGTGGGATAAAGACAGTCTTTTCAATAGATGGTGTAGGGAAAACCAGACAGATACATGCAGAAAAATGAAATTGGACCTCCTTTTAACACCATATACAAGAAAATATTCAAAATGGATTAAAGATTTAAATGTAAAGACCCGAAACCATAAACTCCTGGAAGATAACATAGGCAGTAAACTCTGTGACATTGCAGTTTGTAATATTTTTTTCTGCTCTCTCTCCTTGGGCATGGGAAACAAAAGAAAAAGGAAACAAATGGGACTACATCAAACTAAAAAGATTTTGCACAGCAAAAGAAACCAGCAACAAAATGAAAAGACAGACAACTGAATGGGGGAAGATATTCACCAATGATATATCTGATAAGGGGTTAATATCCAAAATTTACAAAGAACTCATACAACTCAACACCAAAAAAACAAACAATCCCATTAAAAAAATGGACAGAGAAACTGAATAAGCATTTCTCCAAAGAGGACATACACATGGTCAACAGACATATGAAAAGATGCTTAATGTTACTAATCATCAGAAAAATGCAAATTAAAACCACAATGAGATATAACTTCACACCTGGCAAAATGGCTATCATCAATAAATCAATGAACAAGTGTTGGTGAGGATGTGGAGAAAAGGGAACGCTCATACACTGTTGGTGGGATTGCAAATTGATGCAGCCACTATGGAAAATGGTTTGGAGTTTTCCTCAAAAAATTAAAAATAGAACTACCTTATGATCCAGCAATTCCAGCCCTACATATTTATCCAAAGAAATCCAAAACACTAATTCAAGAAGATATACGCACCCCTATGTTCACTGCAGCACTATTTACAATAGCCAAGATATGGAATCAACCAAAGTGCTCATCAATAGATAACTGGAGAAAGAAACTGTGGCTGAGTAGTACTCGGCCAAAATTAAAAGAATGAAATCTTACCATTTGGGACAACATGGATGCATCTCGAGGGTATTATGCTAAGTGAAATAAATCAGACTGAGAAAGATAGATATGATGTGATCTCCCTTATGGGTGGAATGTAAAGAACAAAATGATCGAACAAACAAAACAGAAACAGACTCACAGATACAGAAAATAAACCGATGGTTGCAAGAGGGGATGGGAGGTTGGGGAGGAGGGTGAAAAAGGTGATGGGATTAAGAAATACAAATTGGTGCCAGCCGAGTGGAGCGATGGTTAAGAACTGGCTTGGAATGCCAGAGGGCCCTGGTTCGGATCCCACATATGAGGGCCAGTGACACTGCCCTCTACAGCTAAGATGCTGAACAACAGCTCAACCTGGAGCTGGGCTGCCGTGAGTCGCCGGCCATGGCGTAGGCTGCGACCCCTGTGGCAGTGGGTTGCCATGGGCTACCGTATGTAGCCAGCAGCCAGCGTGAGCGGCCAGCAGCCGCAGTGAGCGGCCATCCAGAAGCCGACAACTGATGTGCCTCACCCAGGAAGAGCGCAATGATGGTGCCAACTTGGGCCTGTGAAGCAACGTCCTCCACAACTAGACTGAAGAACAAAACGACAGCAACTTGTCTGTTCCCATCCCCCCAATTCCCCAATAAAAATCTTAAAAAAAAATACAAATCGGTAGTTTATAAATAGTCAAGGGGATGTAAACTACAGAATAGAGAATATAGTCAATAGTGTTGGCAACAGTGATGTATAGTGCCAGGTGTGTACTCGATTAATGGGGGGGGGGAATCACTGCATAAATTATATAAATGTCTAATCACTATGCTGTATACCTGAAACTAATATAAAATAATACTGAATGTCAACTATAACTGAAAAAATATATATAATTTGAAAAATTACCGTTTCTAATTTGGACATAGCAGTTTAACTATTTTAGAAAAAGCAATATGAAATAGATAATATATTTTGACTATATATATTTTTTGACATTCCAGTTTAAGAAACATTTGATTTCCTAACTTGATCTTTCCTCTGTAAAACAAAAAAAAACAATTGCTTGCTAATCACTTCACACATACATATAAACTTTTTTGAAAGAAAAAGTGTTTTAAACATTTAGAAGTTAAAAAACACGAACTAGAGTTTACATGTTAATATGTAAATGTAATTTGAAAAAATGCATCAATCCCAGTATCAAAGTTAAATACTATTGTTAGTAATTAATGACTACCTAAAATATTTTTCTAATGCTGCACACGTTTTTAAATAATAGAATATATTACATGCACATGTTCTTTGGTTCTAAACTATTCAGTCACTATCATTTTTATGGCATATATATTGGAACAGAAAAAAGAATTCTTGGTTCTCAACTAAAAGTTCCTTGTTTCATTAACATCTGAATATAGATATACGGGCCATGCTATAAATCATTAGAACACTAAAATGTATTCTAGTAATATTTACTTTCAAATATATGTCTCAAAATATGGCTTTTACACCGACAATGAAAATTCAATAAGGAAGATGATCACATATTTAAAACATTTTTTTCCATATACCTGCATTTAAAACTCAAATTTAAATTTTATTACGTAAAACAGGCTATTCAATCTCAAACAATTATTATAGTTTTCAATAATATTACAATGGAATTTCAAAGCCAGACTAGACCTTGCAGAAATTTGGCTATCTCCGCCCCCATTTTATCCATCACATAATTTAAGTCCAGAAAGATAAAATGACTTCCCCAATATAGTGTTGTGGCTTGATGATGGTTTATAATCCGAATCTGAGTTTCTCGGTTTCCAGTTCAATGTGCTTTCCACCATATCATATTGAAACCTTTTTTGAGATGTATTATTAAAATGCCATGCTATGAGATCCATCAGGTTGGCCTGTCACTTAGATATTCTTTGTAGTAAGGATCTACATTAATAAATGTGTTTTTAAATTAACACAAACTCAAATTTCCTTCTGTGTAGAGAGCATTGCAAATAATCAGTTCAGCACTCACCTGTCAAAGGAATGGAACTGCATAGGGAGAATAGCTTGCGCTTCTCTCTTCAATGCTGGATCTGGGTATGGGATAGGTTCGGGACCACACTCTGCAATTTCAACTGGGGCAGCCACGAGACTTTTCAATATTTCCTTGACATTGATGCCTTTGGTTTGACTAATGCTAGATATGGATGGTGCAGGTTTCAACATTTCACTGGGGTTCTCAGCTAAGCTTTCTTGTGATTTTTTTACTTCAGATGACAAAGTGGATAACAGTTCACTCATGGCATCAGGGCCTGGGCTAGGCTCTAATTCTGTCCCATTCAAGATGCTAGCCACTTGCTCCTCTCCAATTCCTGAATCCGTATGAGGAATGGAACTTTCTATCTGAATATCTTCCCCAGGGGTTGGTGTTTCCTTTTCCTTTATAGTGTCTGGGAATGCAGCAGGTGTTTCTGTAATGGAAGAAAATGGTTTAAATAAAAAGTTTAACAAATGGAAACCCAGTTTATTAATAAAATATTCTCACATATTGAGATAAAGGAAATAAAACCTGTAAAAACAAAAAATCTGCTAGCTAGATATGACAACAAAACTGGGTTAAAACATATTCATATATACCTGTCATTTTGTTCAGTAACCATCAACAGAACCCCATTTCTTTTATAAATCATCTGGCATTTCAAAACTGATGCCTTTAAAAACATGGAGAAATAGTTCCTATAAAATTTTTATAGCAGCTCATAAATAATTATTATATGAAGTTCCCCCTTTATCCTTTCTTGTTAGCTAAAATCACGTAAGAGAAATTCTTATACTATTCTAATACTGTCCTTAAAAATATGTCATTTTTATACCTTTTATGGTACTTCAATAACCAATAATGTCTACTTGAAATATTTAAACTAGTTGAAGATATTATTTTAAAGGTACATGAACATAATACATAAAACTCTGAAAAGTTAATTGCAAAAAGCATGTCAAATAATTACTTCAAAACGATAATTTAATAAGAGAATAATGTTTCTCAAGAATTTAGTACATATGTGCCTTTCTTAAAGAATATTTATTTTAGAATACTCATTTTTTGTGAATATATGTAAATTTCAATTTATGAAAACTTAGTCAGAAAAGAATATATAGGTAAGAAATACACATATTACCAATTCGATAGATAAAAAAACATCTTTAAAATGTTAAATTCATATAAAATCTCATACAAAGCAAAGGTTAATATAATAAATTTCTCCATATATCAAATTCTATATGATGACCTTAAAAAATTTATGTAATCTACAGTATAATGGGGGACAATAAGAGCTCTTAATAAAGTCATGTTGAAGAAGAAAATAAGATACTACATGTAAACTGTTTGCAGTTCCTGGATAAAGTAGGTGCTTAGTAAATGTTAGCTATTTAGAAATAAATAACATCTTCATAGTATTCAATATTCCTAATATACAACATTTAGTTAAATTGACTAAAAATATACATTTCTCACAATTCAGTGTTATATTGTAGTTTTCCTCATATTTATTGAATAGGTTATAATTTTGCTTGTTTGTACATTAGAATTGAAAGATTAATTAGTATAACATAATAATATTCAAACATTGGATGACTAACATGAAAAAAAGTAGACCTATTCTTTGTTGATCCCAAGAATAAAAATTAAAATGACTGCATGAAAGTTTTGAGAACACAAATAATTTCAATAATACTATTGGCAAAGCACTACAGAAGGAAAAAGAGGTAAAGGTAACAGTTTAGCTTTTTAATAAAACCTTGTGAGAGAATATTAAGACATAGAATAATAACATTAGGAATAGCAGGGAAAGAATAAAGGTGCTTCTGGAATATGTACTGTGTTTCCCCGAAAATAACACCTAATTGGAAAATGAGCCCTAGCGTGGTTTTGCAGGATGCTGTAATATAAGCCCTACCCCAAACATAAGCTCCAGTTAGGATCGTCAGCCAGACATGACTGTTTGAATAAATGTAGATTTTTGTACATGAATAAATTAATAAATGTAGATGGTTGGGAGCAAAAGTCAATATAAGACCGGTCTTATTTTCAGGGAAACAGGGTAGCTTAAGGAATAGTAATAGTACTATGCCACTAACTGAGGAAGCAAAAGAGGAGTGTGTTTGTTTAGGAAAATAATGAATTAAATTTTGAATTAATTAAGCCTGCAGAATCTCTGAGATATTTATATCTGTAGATCAAGATAAGTATAGCAATTTATTTTGGGAATCATATAAACTGAGGTGATAACTTTGGAAGTTTCAAAATAACCTTAGGAATACAAAATGAGATGAGTAAGGCATTTATTTCCACTATTAGAGATACCACTGAATTTATTCAGTACAGGTGTGCATCTATAGATTATATATTTTTGGAGAGAAAGCAATTGTGGTAAAAAAATCAGGATAGACTTAAATAGCAGTAGTAATATTTCTGTGACAATAGAACAGAAAATGTAAATGCAGAAATGAAGTAAGAGTTCTAACATCAAGAAAAAATAACAGTGTCATGGGGTTACTAGCATGGACACATTTCTTACAGAGTTTAACTAGCAAAAGGCATATAGTCAAGTCCAGCACTTAGTCTGAATTTAGCTGATTTATAGATTTGGCCTAGAGTTTGTCTTTACCCTAGTATGATGTCTCAGTATTTTTTTATGGTATGTTTTACATCAAGAACTACATGAAAAATGTGCTTTACAAGTTATGTAAGTCTGAAATATAAGCATTCTGCTAGCAAATAAAATATCAAAGAAAATAAAATCTTTGATTTAGTGTCCACTGGTGCCACAAGAAAATATCTTTCCACCAAATATATAATTTTGTTGTGTTTTTGTTCACTTGACTTTCAATCAACAATTAAAATCTATAACTCATTAACCAGATACTTGGATCTCCAATATAAATGTTAACCTCTCAATTATAAAACATAATTAAGCTTATTAAAATTGAACATTAGAAAATTTTCAAATGAATCATCAAAATATTTACACAGTAATAAAAATCTTTTATTTTTACTGTGACTGATAAAAGAATGATTTCAAAAATGAAGCAGTAAATTTGATATTTCAACAAGAACTCTATTCAACTACATAAATTTCATAAAGTATATCTTGAGATCATGTCACATAGGCATAAACACCAATGAAAAATTTAATAATAGTAATTGCAAATGAAAAATAGAGCAGTAGTCAAAAAGCCTACCTTAATTACTCACGCATTAAAATATTTTACAGAATATGCTCCCAGTTGATGGTATAAATGTCAGCTTAGATAACGCTAATGTTTCTTGTGACACTAAAGTACTTTGAGGATTTAACCCAAGTAACTTCAATAGGAAGTTAAGCATGAACGCAGAAAATGTATAAATGATTGCATCTGTGCAGGTTCTATAATGACAGTAGACTCGTAACTTTCCTATAGTTCTCATCAGTTTCTGTAGCAATAGGCCACGTCAGTACACAAAGCAGAAACATTACTAGTCTGAGTGATCTTAACTTTGTCAGAAACAGGCAGTTGGAAGCCAGATGCCTCTTTTTCTTACTGTGTTTCATTGAACCTAATGAGTTTATCTAATAAATTTTGGAAAAATTATGGGGCTAAGTTCAGCAAATGACATGATTTCTACATGGTTACCTCATTTATCACATTCCTTCCTCCAAAAATCTTGTTTACAGTGATTTATGAAGTGTTTCAATATGTCCTGCGTACTAAATTATTCAAATTGCTATATTCCAAACTATCTAAATAAGGGGTAACATGAAAGGAACATATATTTGTCTAGTTAAGTCCAATAGCTCCTTGTTTGTATAGCACTAAAAATTATATTAAGATTAATTATTTGCTTTTCAAATAGTAATACTAAGCAAACTAAATCACATCAGTGATTTAAAATAAAACATAAAAATCTATATATAACTACAATGTATATCTCGTTTATATTAAATCCCAAAATGCCAAATGAAGTTACATAAAAAGTAACCTGAGGTCCGGCTGAATGGCACGTCGGTTAGGAGTTGGCTTGGGACGCCAGCTCTGAGCAGTAGGGCCCCGGTTAGGATCCCACATGAGGGCCAGTAACGCTGCACCCTCTACAACTAAGATGGTGAACAACAGCTCGACCTGGAGCTGGGCGGCCATGAGTCACCAGCGAGGGCATAGGCTGCAGCAGGGCTGCAGTGGGCTGCTGTAAAGCTACCATGAGCGGCTGGCAGCCAGCGTGAGCTGCCGAGCGGACATCCAATGGCCAACAACCGACTGCCGCAGCCGGGAAGAGCACAATGATCACAATACCAACATGGGCCAGTGAAGCGACGTCCTCCACAACTAGACTGAAGAACCAAAAGACGGCAACTTGTCTGTTCCCCTTTCCCGATTCCCCATCACTGTTCCTTCCCCCAATTCCCCAATAAAATCTTAAAAAAAAAAACAAAAAAAAACTCCAAATGAAAAAAAAAATACATAAAGATTTAAAAATCACTAAAGTTAATTTTACACAACAAAAGACTGCAATACAGGGTAATTATTTGCAATTATTTATATATGATTCAACTTTTTGTTTGCTACACTAAATGTATGAAAAGAATACAACTTCAGGAATTAAATATTATCATCAAAAATATGCCAGTAGATAAAATTATAATTCAGAAGAAACAAGATCCAAGAATGTACTTCCAATTGATGTTTTGGCTATGATTTGTATATCTGTTTGAGTTTATTCTACTTAAAGCGATTTGGAATGTGCATAGTAATAAGTTTCATCAAATTCGGTTTTCAGGCCAATGTTTCAAATATTCTCTGTGCCCCTTCCTCTCTCCTCTCCTCTGGGGTTCCTATCTGTGTATGTTGGTTCACTTGTTGCTGTCTCGCAGGTCTCTCAAGCTCTCTCCACTTTTCTTAATTTCTATATTCAATCTGTACCTAAGAGTCAGATAACCGCAATTGACTTTTCTTCAAGAATGCAGAGTCTTTCTTCTGCCAACACAAATCTTCTATGGAGCCCCTTAATAAATTTGACATTTTCAACTCGACAATTTTTACTTGGTTCTTTTCTATGATAATTCTTTACTTATATTCTCTTTGATGAGACATCACCCTCATACTTTTAATTCTTTAGAAAAAATTTCCTTTAATTATCTGAGCTGATGTGTCATAGCTGGTTAAAAGCATTTGTCTAATAAATCCAACATCAGGGCTTCCTCAGGGGCAGTTGACTGACTTCCCCCCAATGTGTGTTAGTTATACTTCCCTGTTTCTTTGCATATTTTTTGCAAGTTTCATATTTTTGCTGAAGACTAGACAATTAAAATATATGTTGTGCCAATCCTGGAAATCCAACCCCTAATGTGGGGTTCACTGTTGCTCTGTTTATTTACTGACTGTCCTGAAGTAATTCTGTAAAACCTATATTTGCTGTTACCTGAAGCCACTG